TCAAGGAGGTTGTCTACGTAAAATTTGGTATCTTAAAAATACATTAGTTCAAACCATCAAATTTCGTGAGAAAGATGCCCATTTGCATTCGAACTATGCCATATTCACCTTTTTTTCTTTGTTTCCTTTAACGTTCAAGGGCATATTTACATTTTACCCAAAAGGGCCATATTCACATTATTAAAAACAAAAAAAACCTCGGCTTTAAAACGTGTGACTCAATCGAAGAAAAATCATGTGTTATCATGAGCCTTGAGATGGCCCAGTCCAATGTGGGCTTCACCAAGGGGTGGCAATGGAATAGGGATCCGACCATGGTATGTGTATGCGTCCAAAAGTTGGACTGGTGGGTCGATTTCGAGTCCAAATATTTAAACCCAAACACTATTCGGGTTTGAGTCCTGGTCAATGTGGATCCGAACATAATAGTATTACTATTTGAATAATAATATCAAATATTGGACCCAAGTCATTGAATAGTATTACTATTTGAATAATAATATCAAATATTGGACCCAAGTCATTGAATAGTATTACTATTTGAATAATAATATCAAATATTGGACCCAAGTCATTGCCGACTCCCTCACACACCAAAAGGGCCGGGTCTATGGGATGGAGAAAACCACACAAGATCTGACGACTTTACTCTCAAGGACCAAGTTGTAAATATTAAATTTATTTTGTTGCATGGCATCTTACTCTGGAATGCATGGGATTGATTCTAACAAGCCTACAATAATGAAAAATCATTCAAACAATAATTACATTGATTTTGCACAAACTACAAGCCATCAAAATAAGCAATAACAAGGAATGAGAACATAACTGCACAAATATGAGCCCTGGCACTATGTTACAATCAAAATTCAGTCCAGGCAAAAAGTAAGTTGAAAAAAAGCCAAATTTCCATGCATTATGTTGAGGGTAGTTTTTTTCAGCTATCGGTCTAGGTTTCTATTCTCACATACGCATTAAAAAACCGCTAATTATTTTTAAAAACAGGCTCAGGCCTGTATTCCCACTGACCTACCAAAAAAAAAAAAGAAGGTAATTTCAACACCAAAAAATTTCACTTGCCACTTGAAACATAGGAATTCCTCAAACCTTATCCAATTTAAAGAAAATCGTAGTGCTTATGAAGTTCATCAACATGGGTGACAAGAATTTTAGAGATCCACATTGTAATTATGTGGGGATGATATGCCTCTACCATTTTTTTGAAATAGTTAGTGGTTTTTGAAACTGTCCGTGGGAAACTAGGAATAGAAGCTATAACATGCAACTGAGGTATGGGGTGTGCTACCACCACGACCTCAGCGCTTTTCCCATTTTATTAGAGCTGCCATACATTAGACATTCAAGTCCTAAATTTCAGGCTGAATACACAATTTGAAACACACGGATCTTCCAAAATCCATAAGGCAATTGTATAAAATCTCCAGCAGTATGTAAAATTATACTGGTTGCAATCCTAAAGGGAGGCGCTTCATTTGAGTACATACATATTACAAGAAACAAACCCTTTAAAAGAAGGACAATAAAGGGCATCTCACAATCCCTGGTCTCAACCAAACAATAGGGGAATCCGCCATCGCACCCAATTTCTTGATAATTTTTCAATAAAGTTTACAATATCTGATATATGGGAGTAGTTTACTTTAGTGATTGTTTCCAATACAACAAGTTCCGGATTTTTATCTTCTTGAGAAAGGAATCGAAGACTGTAAAGATCCAAAATATAATCCACTCCTGATTATGACTGTAAAGATCCATCATTACTCCAAAATATATAAACAACCCCTTATTCCACAAAAAACAAAAAACACTAAAACCAACTATTTAATGCTAAAGATAGTTTTGATCTATAAATTTTAAAACAGAATCAAACCCAAACATTTCATAAGAAATATTTCCTTAATATACTAAATGAAATTGAGTAGTGTCCTGAAACTGTTTCTTTTTCCCAAGTCAATTATTCATTCATCAATCACGAGAAACATTGTTTCCCTTGTGTTTGTACAACCCCATCAAAATTCGTCACTAAATTTAGGCATTTTCTCACAAAGCCAAAACCCACATCAAATTTCAGAAAATCAATAAACTAAAAAATCCAGAAAACTCAAAACAAACGATGTACTCTTACCCCTCCACAGAGTTTAATTACTTATCTCACTGGTTAAATAACTATCATATCCAATACCTACACATTTTACGTAGTGAGAAACGATAAAAACAATGGATGAATATTTTTGCATTAGTTATTTTCAGTCGACATTATTTTGAAATTTTCTCATTGCAGGTTTAATTTTGAGCTTATTTTAAAAATTTCTCATTGCACATTTAATTAAAATATCGGGATACTTTTACTAATTCTAATAGAACTTTAGGTAGACCCTCGTCCTAATCTTATAGCAATAGACCTCTAAGTAGTAGGATACCTCAATTTAGTGTATCACATATTAATCCAGTAGAATTCCTATCAAACTTAGCAATGCTATCTTCTAACAAATTGAACCAATTATTGGACGAGATTGAACTAGGCATACCCACCATACAATTAGATGACAGGTTCATCTTTTAAAATTGTGCTCCATGTTGCAGCTGCATCCTTTTATTTATCATTGTTGGGTGCATTTAGATTTTCAGTTTGCAATATTGGGTCCAATTTGGTTCATTTCAACAATCCTATATTGATTATTTTTTTTTGTTCTTTTTGGGCATTTCAATGGTGGGAATCGAATTGGGGGTTAGTATTATGATAATACAAATAATAGAAAAAAATAAAAAATAGAAAAATAAAAATTTAGAAAATAATTTTATATAGCTATATCTTTGCGGGCCGAAGCAAACCCGCATCTAACCGAAGCGGCAGCACCAAGTTTCGCTTCTCTTCAGTTTACGCTTAAAATCCGAAAGCTTCGGCCACTTCAGCCGAAGCGAAACGAATTTGATAACATTGGTATTATCAAGCCTGGATCGGATCGGCCTATTTGATTTATGGAAATGCCAACAGTCAGGCAGGTATGGCAAGTCATTAAATAAAAAATATCATAAAGTCAGTAAAAACCTCCAGTTAACCAGTTGGACTGGCCAGTTTTCCTGGTTCTGAGAGCCATCTTTACCCAAAATTTGGACTTTTCATCATAGTTTTGCGCTGAGCCTAAGGAGTATTATTTTGCTTCTTTGTTTTCAATTTTCATACAGCCTATCTACCATATTTCAAATATGACACCCATTGAAATCCTTCCTAGTTTATCACTGTAACCCATTTGCCAAGAAGTTCAATTCTTCACCTGGGAAGATCCACTTCAAACAACTGAGTTGAAAGGCCCATCTCCAAAGCTCCCTTCCAAAAGAACAATGCAAAAATAAGTGGTCTATTATTTATCATTTTTTTTACACATCAGACATATATTAGTAATAGTCATTCCTCTGCCTCTCAACCTGTCAATGGTAAGCATTTCTTCGAACGCGAAGCAGACAAGTGAAGAATTGAACTTTGTGGGGAGTTGAAAGATTGCATAGCCTTGCATTCAAATGGCTGAACTGTCTATATCCATTTGGAAAATCAAGTCATAAGCTGATTTCATTGAGGACACCCCATTGGTAAAAGCCTTCATATTCTCTCATCCCTCTTTGATACATATACTTGCTTTTGGTCATTCTGTAATTTTCTCTAGGTTCCTCTCTTTTGTAACTAAAAATAACAAGAGCTTTTAAATTCTTTTAGAAGGAATTTAAACCATATGCTATATTTGTATTTGTCTCTATCTCTTATGTTAAGCCAAATTCCCACCAGAGAAAAGGAAAAGAAATAATAGAACCTTAATCTGATCTCACCCAAATAGGAAAGGGAGTCCCCTCTCAGTATTTTGTCTTTCCTTTTTTTTTTTGTTTTTTGTTTTTTCGTGAACGGGTGTTTTTGTATATTTTAACCTCTATTTCGTATGTACCCAAAAAAAAAAAACCTCTCTTTCTTATGTTCATGTAAAGTGTTGTTTTCGCTGCCTCTCTTCTTTACTTTTTTGATCTCAAAAATTTCTCGCTTACACTTACAACTAATCTTAAGCGGACTCTAAATAGTTGGAAAAAGGCTCGGATGAATATAATGATAACACTTATTTTTTTTACTATCCAAGACTCCCCTTAACAAAAAGAATCCATGATCTCTCTCTTTTCTAATTTTTTTGGATATTGTTAGAGCATTCCAATTTTAAAACTTTTAATAACAATCTTAGTTTTTTTTTTAAAGATAGTATATATTAATGAAAGGGATTTAAAATTAGTATTAAGTAATACAACACAAAACGAAAACTTAATCAAAAGAATTATAATTTATTTCAAAGGAAAGGAATATGAGTAATATCTCATACCCCATTCTTTAAGGAAAAGTATATTATCTTTGACGCAAGGACATCACAATCACCCTAGCCACTAACTAGAAAATTGAGCAGGTAAATGTGTCTTAAATTCTCAAAAAAAAAAAATAAATAAATAAATTGTGCCAAGCTATCAGATTTTAATAGGAGTGAATCCAAAGTTTTAGATCTAGCTAAGTATCCTCAAATGATTTGGATTTTAAGTTTTTGAATACCTAGCTCTTGCCATACGAAAAGTGGCCCATTCTTATTTAATTTTTTTGAGGCACACAAAGAGACCTTTTTTTTATTTGTTATTAAATTTTAGAGGGTGCATTACCCGATCTGAAAAAAAAAAAAATATCTACAATAACATTATTTATTTTTGGTATAAAGCGGCCACAGTCTTGACCATTGAATTTGAAATCTGGCCATTGAAGACGATTTATTAACTGAGTACAAAATCAAAAATAAATTTTTTTTTAAGGTCATGACACAGTTCTTCTATGTTCGATTCTATATCTAACGGCTAAAAGTGATTGCACCCGTTAACATCATACGGAATGCAATCCTGACCTTAAGGGCCCAGATTTAACTCTATCCTGATTCACATGCTATCTGGGCCGTCCACTCCCACTCTAAACCCTGTTGTCGCAGTGAGGTCAGCGATAAACCTCTCTCCCTTGAAGAACAAAGCACCTTGGGGCAATGGCCATGGCGGCCTCAAATGGCCTAAATTTCACTTTTAGGGAGCCAAAGTGCCTGAATATCCGATCAAACCCCAAAAAGATCCCATTTTTCAGGTGCCACAGGTAAATTTCCTCATTATTCCATTAAAAATTCGATATTGAGCTTTTAATCTGCATTAATTTTCTTCGATATTGTTTATCAACGATTTCTTTGGTTTTATTCATTGATTTGGAGATATTATTATAATTTTCCCAGCTTATGGGATTTGTATCATTGGTTTGTGTTTTTCAGAGAGGCCCTCATTCTGTGGAGGATAAAAGTATTCAGATATTTTAATTAAACGTGAAATTAGAAAATTTCAAAATAAGCTCGAATGAAAATAAGTAATATAAAGATATTCATCCATTGTTTTTATCGATTCTCACTACGTAAAATTTGTAGCTATTGGGGATGATAGTTATTTAGCCAGTGAGATAAGTAGTTAAACTTTGTATATAATGAGTCGAGCACGAGAGAATTGTTTTTCTTCCAAATACCTGTTTGTTTGAGTTTTCTGGGTTTTTTAGTTCATTAATTTTCTGAAATTTGATGTTGGCTTTGGCTTTGTGAGAAAATGCCTTTTTTCAATAACGAATTTTGATGGGTTTGTACAAACATAAGGGAAACAATGTTTGTCATGTTTGATGAATAATTAACCTGGGAAAGAAGAAACAGTTTCAGGACACTGCTCAATTTCATTTAATATGTGAAGGAAATTTCTCTTATGGAATGTTTGGGTTTGAATCTGTTTTGAAATTTATAACTCAAACTTATCTTTAGCATTAAATAGTTAGTTTTGGCATTTTTATTTTTTGCGGAATAAGGGGTTGTTTAAATGTTTTGGAGTTATGGTGGATGTTTATTCAAGAAATTGTATGTCTTTGATTGCTTTCTGAAGAAGAGAAAATTTCTGAAGTCATTGTAATATAGGAAACAATCGCTAAAGTAAATTACTCCCATATATCAAATATAGTAAAACTTTCATATGTCTAATTAAAGAAATAAATGTTGTGGAATTATGGTGGACGTTTAATTAAGAAATTGTATGTCTTTGATTCCTTCTGAAGAACAGAAAAGTTCTGAACTCGTTGTATAGGAAACAGTCATTAAACTAAACTACTCCCATATATCAGATACAGTAAAACTCTCATATGTTTAATTGAAGAAATAAATGTTGTGGAATTATGGTGGATGTTTATTCAAGAAATTGTATGCCTTTGATTCCTTTCTGAAGAAGAGAAAAATTCTGAACTCATTGTATAGGAAACAATCACTAAAGTAAACTACTCCCATAGATCAGATATAGGAAAACTTTTATATGTCTAATTGAAGAAATATCAATAAATTGGATGTGATGGCGTACCGTATTGTTTGGGTGAGACCAGGGAATTGTGAGAAGCCTCCTATTGTCCCTCTTTTTAAAGGGACTGTTTCTTGTAATGTGTATACTCAAATGAAGCACCGCCCTTTAGGATTGAAAAACCGCAGCCAGTATATGCTATATACTGCTGGAGATTTTATATAATTTTTCCATTTCTGTTTGGATTTTTGAAGATCCATGTGTTTCAAATTGTGGATTCGGTCTGAAATATAAGACTTGAATATCTAATGTATGGAAACCCTGACAAAGTGGATCTCTAAAATTCTTATCACCCATGCTGATGAACTTATAAGCACTAAGATTTTCTTTAAATTCGGCAAGGGTTAAGGAATTTGTATGTTTCAAGTGGCAAGTGAAATTTCACTGCCTAAAAATTACATCCTACAATGTAATGCATGCAAATTTGACTGTTTTTAACTTATTCTTTGCCTGCCCTGAAATTTGATTTTATCTTCGTATCATCGCTCATATTTGTGGAGTTATGTTCTAATTCCTTTTTATTGCTTATTTTGATGGCTTGTAGTTTATACAAAATCAATGAAATAATTGTTTAAAGGAGTTTCCAATACTGTAGGCTTGTTAGAATCAATCCCATGCGTTGCAGAGTGATATTGCATGCAGCATCTTCTGCAGGAAGTTCAAGTGCAAGTAGCCGGGAAAATCCTTATGAGGTAAATGCACTATGTAGCTTTTTCTTTACCATAATTGTTTAATTTGATAGTTCTATCAAATGTCAATATGAAAATGAAGGGACTGCATTTGTTAGCATCCTAATGCTGTTTTTTCCTTGTCAAGATGATTTGTTATAATTTAGGTAATTTGTTGTGATGGTTAATGGATGGCTTTTCTTTTTGTTCTGCTATATCTGGTTCTTAGGTTCTTGGGGTAAGCCCCATAGAGGGATTTGATATGATTAAGGCTGCTTATACCAGAAAATACAGGGATGCAGAACGAAGAGGGGATGAGGCATCCATGGCTCAAGTAGGTTATAAGGGCTGTATCTCTACTTGTATGTGCGCAATGAACTGGACTTCATTCCTATCATTTATGTCTTCTTAATTCACAAGATGTTCTTGCCTTAAATAATCTTAGTGACTATGAAGTCCTATATGGTGTATTTGTTATATTTGTATCACTGTGATTTATTGACAGGAAGCCCCACCATTTGCCAAAGAGAGAAAACTGAGTTTGTCAATGTGTTTTTTTTTTCCCCAGCTTGAAAGGGCATATGATCAAATTATGATGGCACAGCTGAAAAATCGTAAAAAGGGTGTTACCTTTGGATCATTTCAGGTAGCTTGAATAGTTTTCTCTTCCATAATATGGCTATGAATCCTTGAAGGATCATGTATGGAGCTGTCCTTCGCTTTGATGCATTTGTTTTGAAAAATCAAATTTGAAAAGAATCTTGACTATAGTTTTTTTGCAAAAAAAAAGAATAACATCCGTATATGTAAAAATATTGATGACAAAAAACATTCTAATGTGTTGGGAATCTAGGACTTTATTTTGTCTGGACTTTCCCAGTGTGCCATTCTCTAATCCAGTGTAGAATTGGTACTTGATTTCAGTTATTCTACAAAATCATAAAAAAATAAAAATAAAATAAAAAATAAAAAATTTGTTGGTGTAACTGATATAACACTGTTTGGGTTTTCCTTTTGTTTTTAAGGTTTTTGCTTCTTCTTTTTTTAATGTGTCTGGTTGGATGAATTGCACTTTTCAAGTTGTTGTTGCTTTGCTTATCAATTAATTTTATGTGATGTGTAGTGTTGTAAGTTGTTGCCATTTAGTGCAGGTATCCAAGGATATCAAATATGCTGATAAACAGCCACTTATACCGTGGGGACCAAGGTGCATCTAATTTTCCATAGAAATGCTCCAATTAGTCACGTGTTCTATCCATCTGAGTTTTGGCTCATTATCGATCGAGAGAACTAGAAATGACAGGGCACCCAATTTCCTTAGAAAGTTTATCTTTATTTATGCTTTCAAGGAAATGTAGAACTTTTTCTGCATCTGTTTAGAAGCTCAGCATTATTTTGTTTTCCATAAGATGAGCAGTGCATTCTCTATCCACATTCCAAAATACTCCTTCTAGATGCCATTATTTGCATTGCCTCACTAGTAATCTCCTTCCCTGCCCTTTTGATGTCCCTTTAATTATTTCTTTAGACATTATTATGTTGCTGGTATTTCATCCTTTTGCTGGTTTATCATAAAAAGAGCCATTCAACTTAAATTGTCGTGATCCATCATTTTATTCTGGAAACACTTCTTGTATATTGCACGGGTTGCCTGTAAGACCTGGAATAGTCACCCTACCAGCTCCAAAAACATTTGAAGCATAGTTGCTGGGATCTCCCAACCTAAGTGGCCATCCCTCCCCGGAACCATGCTCGCACGTTCTGGAAAGGGATCTTCAAAGGATCTCTATTTTTAAATTTGGGATCTTGATCTTCTATGTTAGGGATCTTGATCCTCACCTTAAAGACCAAGATAACGACCAAAATGCTGCTTTTCAAGCCAACTAGCAATGAAATTTTGTACTTTTAATATGGTATATACATATATACTCTTTAAGCTTAGGATAAAAAACCCCAAAAGAGTGGGATCTAGATCCCTAAAGGTCAGGATCATGATCCTTAAAATGTTGGGATCAAGATACCTAACATTTAGTGATCTCGATCCTTGACATGTGCATTGTACAGCATCGGTCCCAACATAGGGATCCTCTAGTCTTTCTCAATCCCACTGCTCTCGATCCCTATATAGGCCCTGATGCGCTCCCAATCCCAACAACTATGCTTTAAAGCATATTCTTCTTAAAATTTCTCAATTAGTTTGTCTTTTGTGTTCTTTTTTTTATGCTTGTAGGATTCCCAGCTGAGCTTTCTTTTATTTTTATTATTTTTCCCTTTTTTTTTGGTCTTCTCTAGGATGAGTGTGTAGAGCATAACTTTTATGAGTAACAAACAAACTTCAAACCTCAGACTTCCCACATAGGCCCTTATATGCTTGAATGCGACTCCCATATGAATATTGTATTAGATGTTCTTGTATATTTTCCTTCATGTTGCTGATCGTCTTTCCTTCTTATTTTATGTTTTATTCATGATTGAATTTTTTGTTATCAGGTTCTCAAAATCAAGTGTAGATGACATCCGCATTAATATGGCGATAACTGCTTTTTTTGTAAGTTCCAGAATGACAATTCATGTTTATTTTTCTCATTGGCTGTTCATTTTAAAACAAACATATTTATAGTTCTTCTGCTCCATGATGTGAGCCACTGCATGTGGTTCTCGTCATCTGTCAGCATGTTCTTTTCTTTGTTAATGTCTACTTGGTGATTTGAAGATGCCCTTCCAAACCTCTCAATATCCTTTTATTTTCTTTTTAATTTTACTTCTTTCATTTAGTGTTTTCCAGCTGGATTCCTTGCGTTCTTAATTTTGTTTGTGGAGGCAACCTATATTTCTTTCCATTCTCTATGTCACTTTCTCCTCCCCGGAGTCATATTCGGCTTTTTGTATTCTTAATGAACTGTGTCTGTCACACTTAGTTTCTTCTGGGGTTACCACTTTTGAAATCCCATAGAATGCATTAATATCCTGTATGCACTATGAATCATGTCAAACATTCTCCTATTTTGAGTTTATCAAAAAATTGCTTATGGTCATACATCGTACCAGCCTCTTGTGACATTATTTATCTGCAGAATGTCTTTTAACTCTAAAAGGAGACAGAGCATCAAGTTTAGAACTATCCTTGACATAATCACGCTTTGTGAATCTTGGAGCATTTATGGATTTATAATTAATGTGACCTATTTATTCTTTTCCTGGTTTCATATGGACGATATTCTTGAGATGCTCTCTCTTTATTTTATTAATTTATTTTTATTGGCTCCCTGTTCTTCTCTTGAGAATATGTGCCACAATGTTGCAAATTATCTAACCTTGCACTTTACAGACAATTTGGGCGGTCGTGAAACAAAATGCTGAATGGAAGCCTTTGCAGTTCTTAGCTTTTGTATTCGTCTATAGATTGTTTGAGAAGTTAAAGTCATTTGAGCCACCTGCTCCTCCCGCATTTAATGTGAGTTTACACTAATTTGTATAGAGTTTTCCCATCAATACTATTTCTAAATGAATTAATAGTACCAAAGCTTTGAAGACTATCTGTTTATCTGAGTCTTCTTCTTTGCAAAAAATGTTTTCTACTAGTCTAACAAGTAGGCTTATTAGTTTGAATTCTTAATGAGTGATTTTTTCTGAAATTTAGTTTTCCTCTGACCATATTTTTAATTTTTATGGCTGCAGGAAGATGGTGTTGAAGATGAAGGGCGGGCATTGCGAATGGGAAAGCGGCTATTACGCTCTTTATCGCTTGTTTTCGGCTGTATAGCTATTTCATCCTTGGTACTTAATACAATTTGAACTATCAATGTTTAACTTGGACTTCTAATTGAACAAGAGGAATGCATGGGAAGGAAATCCAATGGACTATGGAGAAACAATGGTTCATTGGGTCATCACTATTCATTAGAAGTGATGGTTAAGGGGAGTGAGAGTGCGATCCAACATTGAGTGTATGTCATTGTTTTGATGGGTCTCACTGTTGCTCCAAGGCTTCCTTTGAGGCACCATTTATATATTGGATTTGAATGGGATACTTTTGCATGAATCCTCTGACATGAATTTAGTTTTTTCATGTGGTTGTAGGAATTAATTTTTACGAATAAATTGTATTTATAGTGAACATGGATGGATATGTCTGGAGCTTGGCAGTTTTCTTGCTCATGTATTTAAATTTACAACCAATTTGTGTTGCTGCAGGCCTTTACTGGAATCCTTAACATAATTGAATTGGTTGGTCGCTATATACCAGTTTTTCTGTACAATAATCAGGTAAGCTCTTTTGAGTTTTCTCATCTTGTGACTCTTGTTTTAGTATGTGTTTCGCCTAAATATGTATAGAGGAAAAATTTTGCACGGGTATGACTCCAATCACGTAAACCAGATCACACAAATTAGGGAAAAATCTCACTCTTAGAGCATGTAAAAATTAAGAGCTTTCCTAATATATGGATTCGGGAAGAGCTCCAAGCCCTTGTAGGGAACCTGTTTCTTTTATGTACAATATTTATACAACAAAGGAAATACCTTTGATCTGTGATAATAAAGTTTTACAGAGAACAAAGGAAATACCTTTGATCCGTGATTATAAAGCTTTACAGAGATTCAAAGAAAGAAAAAGAATTACAGACATAACGGCACTGGAATTTTATAGATTCCATACACCTTGCATATGAGTAAAGGATGTCGGGCTGCTACTTTTTCTAGAATCCCTTAGGCTCTGGCTTACAGTTCTTGGTTCAATCTCTCTTTACCTCTCGAAAAGTATATGATCTCTGCTTAATTGAAGCTTTTTTGCAGTTCAAGCCACAAATCTTCAAGGTTAAATCTTGAAAATTGTGCATAATCTCCTCTCTTATGCTCCTATAGTCATTTAAGTTGATATGCAAGGAAGATCTTCAATCCTGAAAAGTCTTCATCTTCAAATCTTGTGTTTCTGGAGTATTTTCCTTTTGAGAAATACCAAAGCATCCATATCGAGAGATTAACCTGTATTGGATGTGTTGGATTTGGTGCTATCCAAAATCACCAACGCATATTTTGTTGGATTGAGATATTCCCATATATTGTGGGATTGAGATATTCCCATATATTGTGGGATTGAGATATTTCCTTATTAATTGGGATTGCTATTAACCAATTAGATATTCTTTAGGAGTTGGTTATTAGGATAAGTTCTATTTGGATTAGGATGAACTTGAAGGCTCATGTTTAAAGAGATAAAGATTAGTTTCCCATAAAAGAAGGAATAAAAATGGTCATCACGTGAGCTTTTTTGGTGAATATCTTTTCTCTATATAATGGGCTATTTTTAGAGAGAGATAGTGTGCCCTATTTGGGTGACCATATGGGAATGATGGTTCCTTTGGAGAGAGAGGGAGCCAGAGCCTCTTGTGCATAAGATGCAATTTCCCTTTCGAGAGAAGAGAGCTTCATTTGGACAGAAACATTGTGATGGTACCTCTTTTAGACTTCCGAAGATTGAGAGGCTTGTTTCTTGTAGAGAAGCTGTTACCATAGAGATTTGGGATTGTTCCCTTTCAGTAAGAGAGAAAGTCAGTTTTTCGTTGCTCTCGCGTCTCTATTTGGTGTTGTCGATATTGCTAGAAGTAAAGAGAAGGAATGGAGAGTTGTTTAAAAGGGTTTTCTCGACTTGGGATTTTTGTCGAGGTTTGTTCCAAAATCTTTGATGTAACTTTCATTGGTATAGTGGATTTCAGTTTACCATGCCTGTTGATGTAGCCCTCTTGGGTGAACCACATAACTATTTGTGTTCTTGTGGTCTGTATTTCATATTTTATTTCTCATATTTTATTTGCCACAAATATTAACTCATCGGGTTTAAAGCTTCCATGCGCACAACAAGTGGTATCAGAGCCCCGGTTTAGGGTTTTTCGATAAGGTAGTAAAGGTTTCGAATGCAAAGTTCGAGGTGGAGGAATTTGGTGGAAACACTATTTTTCGGCAGAATGAAGAAAAAATTTATTTGGCAAAGGTTGAATAATTTGTGAAAGCTATCCAATGGATGTTGGCATGGTGAGCAGGTGATTTTGATATTAAGGTGGGGATTGTTGGATTTGGTGCTATTCATAATCACCAACCCATATTTTGTGGGATTGAGATATTCTCATATTTTGTGGGATTGAGATATTTCCTTATTAATTGGGATTGCTATTATATTCTTTAGGAGTTGGTTATTGGGATAAGTTCTATTTGGATATCGAGAAAAGGGTCTTTTTTCTATATAATGGGTTATTTTTAGAGAGAGAGTGTGCTCTATTTGCGTGACCATATGGGAATGATGGTTCCTCTGGATAGAGATGGAGCTAGAGCCTTCAGTGCATAAGATGTAATTTTCTCTTAGAGAGCAGAGAGCTTCATTTGGACATAAATATTGTGATGATTTTTTAGACTCCCGAAGATTGAAATGCTTGTTTCTTATAGAGAAGCGGTTCCCATAGAGATTTTGGATTGTTCCCTTTTAGTAAGAGAGAAAGTCAGTTTCTCGTTGCTCTCGCGTCTCTATCTGATGTTGTCGATACTGCCAGAAGTAAAGAGAAGGAATGGAGAGTTGATTAAAAGGGTTTTCTCGACTTGGAATTTTTGTCGAGGTTTGTTCCAAAATTTTTGATGTAACTTTCATTGGTATAGGTGATTTCAGTTTGCCATACCCGTTGATGTAGCCCTCTTGCGTGAATCACGTAAATATTTGTGTTCTTGTGGTGTGTATTTCATGTTTTATTTCTCATACTTTATTTGCCAAAAATCAACCCGTCGGGTTTAGAGCTTCTGCGCACAACAGGATGGACTCTGGAAATAGGTATCGTGAGCCACCAAATCACCAATTTTTGGCACGTTTTAGACCTTATTGTGATACAAACTTGCCTACCTATCAAACTATTGATCTCATTGTTCTGATCGTACTTGCATCATGTGTTATATCACGAAATTTTTGAAAATCAAAACACTTTCTTAAAACGTGTTCATGCTTTAAGAAAGTTTCTGATTTCGCTGTGCAATCTTAGTGCGATCTTCTATTTGAAGCATATATTTCACAAATTTTTTTTTGAACATCCTTCCATTGCTTCCAAAATCAACTAAAGTGAGATCTTTCCGTATTTTGGAAAGGATCTTCCAATTTAAATCACTAGGCAGAACTTTTCCCTTTTCCCATCTCAATCCCTTTGAGTTCTAGAATTGCCGTCCAACACCTGTTTGAAATAGAATTAGGAAACCACTCTTCGACCTTCTAGGTGCCTCTAGACCATTCCAAACTATGCCAAACAGTAAGGCGGATCAAATCATTGAGAAGTGTCTTAGGGCATAACAGCCTCGCGGTGAATTTTCAAAATCACCCTATTTCCTATCCAATTTGCATGAAAATTGTTATTTCATTATAGGTTTGAACAATCATGACTGGATATTTTCACCACATTTTATGACCATTTGACCTCACCGTAAAAGTTCATTGGGGACCTATTGTTCTTTGGCCCCGTGGTTCTTGGCCAACTCCCAAACACCATTAAGGTGTTATCCAAATTGCATTATTTCTGGAGGAAACCCTGAAAATATCCCTAATAACCATTTCACCATACTTGAGCTCATTTGGACCTCATCTAGCCCAACTTGGACAGTTTACCACGAGAGGCCATATATGGTCTCCATGAATCTTGACTTTACCACTGTAAACTTATGCAATCTTCATGCATTTTTGGGAAAATGCTTGCCAACATTGTTTGAAACTTCCACCAACTTTGGGCCCATTTAGACACTATATAGTACATATTGGACAGTTCACATTGAGGTTGCTTTTCATGGTATTGTAGCTCTCAATGAACTTGCCGTGCCTGTTAATTTTGATTTCCCAATACGATTTCATTATAGAGCTGAACAAAAAAGCTTAAAACAGATGGTATAACAAGTTGGCCCTGGACCAAAAAGGGCAATCTCTCTCTCTCTCTCATCCCAATTTGTTAGTTTCTTATCACTCTGTCTTTGCTATTCATAGAATTATCTTTCTACTTCCACCTCGCTTGCCATTTCTCTAACTCTAGCATGTTTTCCTCTCTAGAGATTCCTTGCATTTAACCCCTTTTCAAGGTAGAAATCTATCTTCTACGGTGAATTCAGATACCATCCAAATAGGAAAAACCAATTTTACAAGAAATGCTTTTTGCAAGAGATGTATTTCAAAGGGAATAGTTTTTCCTAGATAAGTTTCTCCATGAATCCAAATAAGGCCCTAGAGTACATGCACATTCCATGTTTTCAAAGTACTCCTAAAGTCCTGGTTCTTATCATGGCTTCCTGCACTGAGGATCATATCATCATTTGATGTTTTGTTATATTTGTCACAAAACATCCCCAAACAGTATGAGACTTGTAACTAGGATTTGGTTCTCTTGGAATTTAGTTGTATTGGAAAAAGTTCATTTTTTATTTTATAGATAAAATGCTTTAGAATGATGTGGAATTGTTGGCCATCTCTAAAACCGTAAATCAGCAAAGACCCTAAAGGCCCCCAAAAGGAAAATGTCTTAGGAATCTGAACTTATTAATCAAACAAAAAAAATGGAATCTAATTCTAAAACATATTTGTTGAAATAAAAAATGAGGGGAAAGGTTTCTATACTTCCCCTACAGCATAGAAGATCTATGCTTCCCCTACCATGCAGCCGTCCAATTTTGATCAAGAGAGCCACTCACCGTTTGATCTTAGATCTGATGTCTCAAAGTATTTATTTTTAGTTTTTTTTATACAAATTGTATGAATATGAAATTTGGTACGTGTCATCTTCTCATTGGGGCGCACTTATAAAAAATATTAAAAATAATTTTTTGATAAAATATAATGACCAAAATACCTTTGAATCTTTCAGGGGTATTTTGGTCATTTTATTTTATTGGAAATGTTTGTTTTATATTTTTCGCTAGTGCAAGCTTAATAGAGGATTGGACGTCCAAACTTTGGTGGCAAAATAGTTTATAGAAAAAAAACTTAAAAATAAAATAGTGTAGAGACATGACATTGTGATTGGAGCGATCTTAGTCCTCCGTTCAAAATGGACGGTTGGATAAGGGAAAGTATATAAGTTTTATGCTGTAGGGGAAGCATAGAAAGCTTGCCCAAAAATGAGATCTAGATATGAAATTATTGAAAAACACTAGAACCCTAAACTCTAAACATGTACCCGATGTAGGCATACGCTTGTTTTTGCGACTCACAAGAAACACAAATGACAATACTGGTTAAACGATCATCTTGGTATTGAACCTAACTTTTGGGCATGAATATCCAAATAGCAATTCCTTGATTAACTTCTTGATCTGTAGTGAAGGTTTCCATCCAACATTAACCCTGGTTTCAATGTGCAGGAGTTGTTCGTCACTAGTTCATCTGCAATCATGCTCCATATCATGGCTTCATACTACAGATGAAATGACAGATATCATGTTTTTCAACAGTTTTGTAGAGAATGGAGTCTATCTTATCTTTTTCGTCATTGTTTTCAAGGCTTAGCGTGAGTCTGTTAGTTTTGGAGATTCTTTTTGATTAATTTTTGTCTCCTACACCTTTCTTTGTTACATTAAGTATGTACCCTAATTAACATCTCTATTGGATCTGAGTAATTCACATTGACCCTGTGGCATTAATTGGTCATGAAAAATGATAAATTTGCAGTGAAATGTTTATGCTACACGTGACTTGCATTTTTAATGTTTGTGGTGGGGGTGTGCGTGTGTGTGTGCGTGTGTGGATGGAGAGAGAGAGAGAGAGAGAGAGAGAGAGAGAGAGAGTATATATTAGTTAGTTAGTTAGTTGTTAGTGTAGTTGTTGTGTACGTACGTACGTACGTACCGTACCGTACCTAGTAGTAGTTAGTTAGGTTGGTTAGT